GGTCATTTTGCGTGGCACAACCTCTACCATGCACTTCTATTACGAAATAGTAAACATCGACTACTACTATTTACCACCACGACTTTCAAAACGAAACGTGTGTATGTGTATCGGTGTGTAACGTACACTTACGCACTACTTTACCGACATAATAAACCTACAACCAAACACAACTGAGAGGCTCTTGCAGTTTTTAAAGATACAAAACTGTTTGAGGCCGAATAGCTACGAAACGACGATTCGTGCCACGACCGTATTTCAATTTAAAACACAGCCACCTACCAGTCCCACGTGCATTTCTAATCAATTTTTACGGTTAATATTAGAATTTATTGGATTTTAACTTACGGCGCAGTTGGTTAATATTCTACAAAGAAGAAACTTTCTTCAATAATTAAGTAGGACCTTTACATTACATACATCTAGGTATAAGACAAGACACCTAAGTAAAATTCGTCATAGTCTAAGTACCTATACAAATTATCAGAATTCAAAAAATGGTACCTACTTTACAAAATATCCCCTTTCTTCCCCTTAATGAGAATAATCAGAGCTGATTTAGGGACTCAAACCAAAGGCGAAAGGTCGATTTAGGTTTTACTCTTTTTCCGACCCTAATCGACTCTGATTATTTCTACTTTGTAAATAATGATATAATTTACAGGTACTTTTCTTTAAAATACAATTATAATGCAAATAGTCCAGCTTTTGCAATAAGTTTTGTAGTAAGTCATCGTATGCATTACCCCTAATCCCTGATGGCCTTAAGACCGTTCTTAAATTGTGGACCCCTACTCCCTATATCAGAATAGAATAAAAATTAAAATTTATTAATTTGTTGCTAAGAATGGCACAATTGGTTAATATCAAAAATAGATATTATGCGTGTTGTTACAATTAAAAAACAGAATATTGGAATTAAGTAGTACCTAAATTTAAGATATTAGCAATTTTCTTAAAAATACAATAATGCAATGCTAAACGCAAGCACGTCCAGCTTTTGCAGTTTTGTATTAAATATCAAGAAAAACGTTTTGTAGCACATTATTAAATACATTCCCCCTAACTTATGATGACATGTAGGGCCCATTTTTAATTTATGGACCCTCCCTGCCACATACTTGAGAATAAAATAGAAATTAAAATTTATTAAATTGTTGCTAAGAATGGCACAATTGGTTAATATTAAAAATGGATATTATGCGTGTTGTTACAATTAAAAACCAGAATATTAGAATTAGTACCTAAATTTAAGCTACTAGCGATTTTCTTAAAAAAAAAACAATAATGCAATGCTAAACGCAAGCACGTCCAGCTTTTGCAGTTTCTTATTAAATATTAAGAAAAACGTTTTGTAGCACGTCATTAGATACACCCCCTTAATCTATAATGACATGTAGGGCCAATTTCTAATTTATGGATCCTCCCTGTCACATATTTTAGAATAGAATAGAAATTAAAATTTAATCATTTGTTGCTAAGAATAGCACAATTATTTAATATTAAAAATGGATACCATGCGTGTTGCTACAATTAAAAAACAGAATATCAGAATTAGCACCTAAATTGAAGCTACTAGCGATTTTCTTAAAAATACAATAATACAATGCTAAACGCAAGCACGTCCAGCTTTTGCAGTTTTATATTGAATATTAAGAAAAACGTTTCGTAGTACGTCATCAGATACACCCCCTAGTCTATGATGACATGTAGGAGTCATCTTCAAATTATGGACCCTCCCCGCCATATACTTCAGAATAGAACAGAAAATAAAATTTATTAAATTGTTGCTAAGAATGGCACAATTACTTAATATTAAAAATGGATACCAGGTGTGTTGCTACAATTAAGAAACAGAATATCAGTATTAGCACCTAAATTTAAGCTACTAGCGATTTTCTTAAAAAAAAACGATAATGCAATGCTAAACGCAAGCACGTCCAGCTTTTGCAGTTTTGTATTAAATATTAAGAAAAACGTTTTGTAGCACGCCATTAGATACATTCCCAATTAATCTATGATGGCATACGGATATTCATTTAAAAATAAAACATTTCCCCATTAACCCCTATTACAGAACATGATACAATAAAATAATAAAACAAATATTAAATTATAAGAAATGTTTTTATTCATAGTACAGTCCATGTTTTGACCCTATTAGAAGGAAAACTTTAAAATATAAAGAAAAAAATATGTAAAGAAATTAAAAAGGAAAACGACTCACCAACATTTACAATTTATTTGTAGATCATTGTTAGGTCCTGGTTCAGATTCCTTACATTTTTTCGTAAAACATTTAGTATACCCTGAAAAGAGAACTATTTTAAAACTTTTTTGCCACAAGTATTATAAGGTAATTTAGTATAATGGAAACTCTCATCAAGGAACTGTAAAGATAGGCAACTTCTTTATCGTAAAAAAAGTTCAACATGAAAATCTGTTATGATTCTGTTGTAGTGTTACCAAACTGTATCAATATTTTAAAAAAGAAACTGATCAATTTTTATTTGCAATCTAAAAATTGGTAAACACCGAATAAGACAATGTATTTCCATAAAGAGAAGTTCTCAATAGTAATAGTTTTTATACAATATATAGTATTAAATATACATAATTTATAATACAAAAATATTTATTAATCATTGTTTTTTTGCGTAATTCAAAAATCCTAAATAAATAAATAAAGGGATGTTCAGTAATAACTTAACAAGTAATAAGTCATTATTCTCATGGTAACTGCATTTACACAAATACATAAATAATAGAACTAAGTATGTTAGAAGATAGACATTATTATAATTTGCCCTATGTGGTCCTATTCTGCCCTTTTAGGGTAACTATCATACTGTATTATGAATTAGATGGACATTTTGTGAACTGGAGCTAATATGAGTCATAAAAATATAGAAGTTTCATCCTTTTCATTAGTTTTGAGCAGTTAGGATTTTTAAGTTGATTGGGTTGTTAAGGAAACTGGAAATAAAATAAAAACGAGGAAGCACTTTGACCTTTTACAAGTGATAAGGAACATCAATAAGCAGCAATGATGTGATAAAATTTGTCAAACTTAACAACAAGCCATCTGAAACTCAGCCAATTTTACTCATCAGAAATAAAAGATAAGATTGATTTTAAAATGGTAGGTGTGTTTTGCTTAGATATGCACTGATAAAGATCAATTTTAATCTGATCTATTTTCTACTTTTCCAGCTCATTAATAATATATTTTTATACTCGAGAGTTATTTTGAGGAGGGCTACATTGTTTAAAACTGTATTTCCTAGAAATATGTCAACTTCCGAAGAAGATGTTTTGTTTAATGTGAAAAACAATAAGGGCATAATTATCTTAAACAGACCTAAAGCTTTAAATGCCTTAAACTTATCCATGGTTGAAAAAATTCATCCTAAATTATTAGAATGGGAGAAAGATAAAGATTTCGTATTAATTAAAGGTATGGGTGATAAAGCATTTTGTTCAGGGGGTGATGTACGTGCAGTTATTGTTGCGGGGCTAAAGGGAGACAAACTCGGACATACCTTTTTCCGAAAGGAATATACTTTGAATGGTTTAATTGGTTCTTACAAAATTCCATATATTGCTCTCATTGATGGTATTGTAATGGGCGGTGGAGTGGGTTTATCAATTCATGGGAAATACAGGGTTGCAACAGAAAGGACTATCTTTGCCATGCCTGAGACTATGATAGGATTTTTTTCTGATGTTGGGGGTTCTTACTTCTTACCAAGAATGAAAGGAAAATTGGGATGGTACTTGGCTATAACAGGTAAACCAACAGTGGAGTAATAATGGACAAAATAAATATGTTGATTTAAATATTGTAGGGCATCGTCTGAAAGGTTCTGATGTCTTAAAAGCTGGAATTGCAACTCATTATTGTGAAAGTACAAAATTAACAGATCTTGAGAATGATCTTTTATCAAATGGTTCTGATGAGAAAAAAGTGGAGAACATACTCAGCAAATTTTCCACCGATGAGAAAAAACTGCCTGAATTTTCATTAAATCCTTTTATGGACAAAATTAATCACTGTTTTGGAGCACCTTCTGTAGAAGAAGTTATTAAAAGGCTTCAAGCAGATGGTTCAGACTGGGCAAAACAAACACTTAAAGTTTTGTCAGAAGTTTCTCCAACAAGTGTTAAGGTAATATTTAAAATATTAGAATTGGGTGCCACAAAGGATTTAAAAGACTGTTTGGAAATGGAATATCAAGTAGCAAGTGGTTGTTTAGCAAACCACGACTTTTATGAAGGTATAAAATTGTTATATGTTTAATTTTTGTATATGATTAAATATTATTTACTTGTAGGTGTGAGAGCACTGTTAATTGACAAAGATAAAAATCCTAAATGGAAACCAAAAACTTATGAAGAAGTTACACAAGAAATTGTAGAAAAGCATTTTAGTTCCTCAACAAATCATGAAGGACCGAGAAACAAACTGTGATAAATGAACAAATGAGCAATTCATTTTTGTAAGGTGTAGTGATATGCTTTATACATATTTTACAAATATTCTTCTGAGGTGAAAGAAAACGGTTGTATTATTATATTGTTATTATTTAGTATACCTGGAAAGAAATTAGTTTTTGTTTTATTCTTGCTTACAACCTACAAAGAATAATAAACCTAAATAAAAAATAAAATAAGAGACCATGGTAAGTAAATAAAAATGACTCACTCCTAAATACCACAAGTGCCTTTCGTGGGCGTATCTTCAAAAATCACTTGTGGAGATCTAGGGCGAGTCTACGTTCTACAGAAAGGAGACTATTGAGATAAATGACAGTCATCTTTCAGTGGATAGGTTTAAGGTACGCAACATGTAAAAAAGTTAAAACCACTCATTAGTTGTGGCGTGAATGTATTGCAAAAGATAGACTTGCGCCTACCCTCACACATGCGACCACTTTTCAGGAGAATCTCATATGTTACTCCTGTAACATCTGAAGGACAGTCACATCGTCATTCTTACTGCACATCATTTTTGTTATTTGTTAAAGGCATTCTGTTACTGCCATATGTGTATTTTCTCCTTACAGGTCAAGTAGTCTCCTTTGTAAAACAAGATTGTACGTACATTAAAAAATGTTAATTTAAATGCCATATAAAACTACAAAAGGATACACAGCTGTGGAAAAAAAATTAGTTTGAAACAAAGTGATTTATGGAAATTTCATTAAAATGAGTGTTCTACTGTAATTCGTGATGAATTTCTGCTCAGTATCAGTAGATTTAATAACCAACAATAGCACATCATTTATTATATTTTCACACTTTCATGAATATAAGTAGTATATAAATACACAACGAATCGATACATTGCAATAAAAAAATTGTTTAGTGCCTAACATAAGAAAAATCAAAACAATCAATCTTATTTTCTTAACAAAGAAAAAATAATTAAAAATGTTTCCTCCTGAAAATGATTAAGCCCTGAAAAATAAAATATAAGTTATGGTATAAAACAGCAATTTTTGTAAATTGAATTATATTTATTGGACCACAATAAATAACATAAACGATACATTTTATATGAAGGACAAACAGTAACTTTAGAATAGGATAATGTGCGAAAATAAATAGTAGACAATTAAAAAACATTTACAGCCAAACTTACAATTACCTTGCCAGGCCTTTTTGTAAATCCTAGAAAAAAAAGAAGCGGACAGAATTCGTTTAATTGTTTTTATTTACTTTATAATAATAAAAAGAAGTACCAATATTATGGTGATGTTCAACAACAACCTAAATGTAACTAGGAAGAACTCCAGTGATAAAGTGCAAAATTTTCTTTTATCATAATTCTTTTTGTCAAAATGAAAAATATTTTTATTGGATTGTGTTCGAATCTGTTTGTGAATTATATATATTACATTATACAATTNCCGCTTGAAAATAATTTTTTTATTGAATTTTATTTGAATTATAGTGTATGAAAATTGTCAAAATAATCAACTTTCAACCCCCATTACTTTTTATGGGGGTGAGACCGCCGCGAACTTTTTATGGTACAGTGGTGGGGGAGACCTCCTCTTTCGATCCCATCCACCACCACCCCACTCTAGATATTTACCAAATTACAACGGGATAAAATTATTCCTTTATTCATTACTTTAGGTTTATCGTAGTGCAAATTAAGTGTTTTCAGCAAAATAAGTAATTTGGTGAATGATATACTATTTGGTGAACTTGAATGAACGATACATTGTACGATAACATTTTAATTTATAAGTATATCTCGCGTGAACCTTGAAAATTTAATGCGTGGCGTGGCCTAAATAAATTTGCGAATGTTAAAAAAAAGAATGTGCTCTGTAGTAATTAGATTGTAATAAATAAAGTTAAAATTCTCTATTCCAGATAAATCTCGACACATGCATGTAGTATTTTATTTTTGGCATTGCCTTAGGTTAAAAGTAGCGGAGAAAATAACATTAATGAATGATTAATACCCCCCTAATCAGTCAGACAGAATGTAAAAAACGTTCGCGATGTTTATAAGTTCCACAGCCTTCCTTTATTTTACGTACACTTTTAAAAATAAGCATCAGTATGTCCAATTTTCCCTTGCTACCATTTCTACTTAGTCCTACAGCTTTTTTTGGGTCAAGAACAAGAAAATTGGGTCTGCTTCGCATAAAATGACGCTATACGAATGGTAGGAACATGTACCATAATAAATTTTCGGATTATACCTCCAGTAAAAGCAATAAATACATAAGTATCATAGCAGATGTAATCATCTTTTTAGGCATTGTCGTTATTTTAAAGTTAACTTTGAAAAAATAAAGAAAAAACATTTACGAGCGTTGTTTGTTTGTTTATAAGGCCGAACAGAATTATTTTTGCACTGGTGCATACGTCGAAAGCAATGTAAAAGTAATGCCTATAAATAAATCAGGGACTTATACAGATGTATTCATTACTTTTTTGTATTATTTATATTACTCTATATTACTCGCTCTATGTGCCTCTTCCAGGATAGTATTGTTGATTAAATGCAAGAGGTACTTCCGTGGAATATATAATCTATACTCAACTAATAAAAGTAAAACGAAAATATTCGTATGTAAAGGAATAACAAAAAAGAATAGGGCAAATATAAAGATAGGAGACGGAAAATTAGAAGAAGGGCTGATTTTAGGTATCTAGGAAGTCAGGTAAGTCAGGACGGACGGAGTAGTAGAAATAGGTAAGATAGGTTGGTAGGACACCTTCTCTAGTCAGAGACATATTAGAAGCAGAAACAGGAGTTGAGAGGAGTAGAGGAGGACCTAGGCTGCATTACTGTTCGCAAATAGCTAAAGACGTGGGATGTTCTAATTATAAGGAAATGCGAAGATTGGGTCAGAATAGGAAAGAGTGGAGGTACGTGTCAAACCAGTCTTAGGACTGACGGCCTTATGATGATGATGATGACTCAACTAATGTCTCACAATTGTAATTACTTAAAGAACGTAAAATTCATTATTATAGATACCTTATTTATAGAATCCTTTAATGACAAATGGTTCCACAATAACATATCAAATAAGAAACGAATAAATAAGGACTGAATTGAACATATTCTCAATGAATAACAGAATACATCAGAAATCTTTAAAATGAAGACAACATACTGAAAGAATGGACGATGATGAACAGGTAGTATGTTACAAACCAAGCGTGGGTAGGACCAAAAGATGGCAAGCATGAAGACGGAACAGGACATAAGCCTCATCCTTGAAGTGCAAAAGGAGACTAACCGAGCTTCAGGACTTGAAAGCACTGTATTTAAGCCTTTCGAGAAGCAAGTGATTGAGACTGCACACACGAATTTCTTTATAAATCTGTTGTACGCTTTGTAATTCAAAATGCTTCAAGCTCAGTCAATGTTCTTGAAGCACTTTTTAAGTGTTCGGGGATTTGTTTCAAATTGCTTTCGAAGTACCTAATTGGTAATTCGAAGTCCTTGGATTTTAGATTTTAAAATATGATTGAAGCTTCAAGGGGTAAAGTATTTTCAGTAAGGGCTTTGGGCATGTAGCTTGGAGTTCCTTTGATGATCAGAGCTTTGCCCAGCTCTGGCTACTAAGGGTATGGATTTAGTTCAAAGGATTATATGTTTGTATTTAGTGGAAATGTCGATAATTACATATTTGGAATAGCAGGTACCTTTTCAAAGGTAATTTATTTTGTTCTCACCTAGTAAAATTTCCTCGGTAGATCATTACCTCCTTTTGTTCGGGCTTTTCGTTATCGATAGGGATGCAGTTAGATATGCCGTCAGAGGCATTAGTATTTGCACTTTGTTTTGGTGACGATTTCTTTTTGAAAAAGTTACCGTGGAACCCGGTCTTGGTGGATTTGTGACCGATTGCATGGTTGTTTTTCGGAGCCGAAGACCGATTCTTCGAACTCCTGGAGAAAAAATTCGAGGCGGCATTTCGAAGCCGGGATTTTAATCTCGCACTACCACCTGGTGATGTCATGATCACGCTTTCCATTGTTTACCAATAATGCCGCGGCCTATACCGATCATGAGAGCAACAGCTAAACTTTATGAAACTGGGCAATTTTGCAGAGTTTAGAGAATAAGGGTTGCCAGAAAGGTGTTACGAACGTTAATTTTGAAAGTAGTAGTTGAAGTTTACTGTTAACGATCATCGCATTTTACAATTTCGACGTTTGCGAGTCAGTTTCCGTTCTAAAAATACATCCTGATCGTCTGTTCCGTATGACGACCAGGTGCCCCATTTTGAAAATCGACAAGCTCTGTTACTGTTCATTCATTGTATTTTATTTTTTTTTTCCCCCTTTAAGCGCAAGTACCGTTCTTTGCGGCCACAACACCTCGAGTTCTAACCTATCCAAGAATCATTACGGTCATTTTGCGTGGCACAACCTCTACCATGCACTTCTATTACGAAATAGTAAACATCGACTACTACTATTTACCACCACGACTTTCAAAACGAAACGTGTGTATGTGTATCGGTGTGTAACGTACACTTACGCACTACTTTACCGACATAATAAACCTACAACCAAACACAACTGAGAGGCTCTTGCAGTTTTTAAAGATACAAAACTGTTTGAGGCCGAATAGCTACGAAACGACGATTCGTGCCACGACCGTATTTCAATTTAAAACACAGCCACCTACCAGTCCCACGTGCATTTCTAATCAATTTTTACGGTTAATATTAGAATTTATTGGATTTTAACTTACGGCGCAGTTGGTTAATATTCTACAAAGAAGAAACTTTCTTCAATAATTAAGTAGGACCTTTACATTACATACATCTAGGTATAAGACAAGACACCTAAGTAAAATTCGTCATAGTCTAAGTACCTATACAAATTATCAGAATTCAAAAAATGGTACCTACTTTACAAAATATCCCCTTTCTTCCCCTTAATGAGAATAATCAGAGCTGATTTAGGGACTCAAACCAAAGGCGAAAGGTCGATTTAGGTTTTACTCTTTTTCCGACCCTAATCGACTCTGATTATTTCTACTTTGTAAATAATGATATAATTTACAGGTACTTTTCTTTAAAATACAATTATAATGCAAATAGTCCAGCTTTTGCAATAAGTTTTGTAGTAAGTCATCGTATGCATTACCCCTAATCCCTGATGGCCTTAAGACCGTTCTTAAATTGTGGACCCCTACTCCCTATATCAGAATAGAATAAAAATTAAAATTTATTAATTTGTTGCTAAGAATGGCACAATTGGTTAATATCAAAAATAGATATTATGCGTGTTGTTACAATTAAAAAACAGAATATTGGAATNTTATTAATCATTGTTTTTTTGCGTAATTCAAAAATCCTAAATAAATAAATAAAGGGATGTTCAGTAATAACTTAACAAGTAATAAGTCATTATTCTCATGGTAACTGCATTTACACAAATACATAAATAATAGAACTAAGTATGTTAGAAGATAGACATTATTATAATTTGCCCTATGTGGTCCTATTCTGCCCTTTTAGGGTAACTATCATACTGTATTATGAATTAGATGGACATTTTGTGAACTGGAGCTAATATGAGTCATAAAAATATAGAAGTTTCATCCTTTTCATTAGTTTTGAGCAGTTAGGATTTTTAAGTTGATTGGGTTGTTAAGGAAACTGGAAATAAAATAAAAACGAGGAAGCACTTTGACCTTTTACAAGTGATAAGGAACATCAATAAGCAGCAATGATGTGATAAAATTTGTCAAACTTAACAACAAGCCATCTGAAACTCAGCCAATTTTACTCATCAGAAATAAAAGATAAGATTGATTTTAAAATGGTAGGTGTGTTTTGCTTAGATATGCACTGATAAAGATCAATTTTAATCTGATCTATTTTCTACTTTTCCAGCTCATTAATAATATATTTTTATACTCGAGAGTTATTTTGAGGAGGGCTACATTGTTTAAAACTGTATTTCCTAGAAATATGTCAACTTCCGAAGAAGATGTTTTGTTTAATGTGAAAAACAATAAGGGCATAATTATCTTAAACAGACCTAAAGCTTTAAATGCCTTAAACTTATCCATGGTTGAAAAAATTCATCCTAAATTATTAGAATGGGAGAAAGATAAAGATTTCGTATTAATTAAAGGTATGGGTGATAAAGCATTTTGTTCAGGGGGTGATGTACGTGCAGTTATTGTTGCGGGGCTAAAGGGAGACAAACTCGGACATACCTTTTTCCGAAAGGAATATACTTTGAATGGTTTAATTGGTTCTTACAAAATTCCATATATTGCTCTCATTGATGGTATTGTAATGGGCGGTGGAGTGGGTTTATCAATTCATGGGAAATACAGGGTTGCAACAGAAAGGACTATCTTTGCCATGCCTGAGACTATGATAGGATTTTTTTCTGATGTTGGGGGTTCTTACTTCTTACCAAGAATGAAAGGAAAATTGGGATGGTACTTGGCTATAACAGGTAAACCAACAGTGGAGTAATAATGGACAAAATAAATATGTTGATTTAAATATTGTAGGGCATCGTCTGAAAGGTTCTGATGTCTTAAAAGCTGGAATTGCAACTCATTATTGTGAAAGTACAAAATTAACAGATCTTGAGAATGATCTTTTATCAAATGGTTCTGATGAGAAAAAAGTGGAGAACATACTCAGCAAATTTTCCACCGATGAGAAAAAACTGCCTGAATTTTCATTAAATCCTTTTATGGACAAAATTAATCACTGTTTTGGAGCACCTTCTGTAGAAGAAGTTATTAAAAGGCTTCAAGCAGATGGTTCAGACTGGGCAAAACAAACACTTAAAGTTTTGTCAGAAGTTTCTCCAACAAGTGTTAAGGTAATATTTAAAATATTAGAATTGGGTGCCACAAAGGATTTAAAAGACTGTTTGGAAATGGAATATCAAGTAGCAAGTGGTTGTTTAGCAAACCACGACTTTTATGAAGGTATAAAATTGTTATATGTTTAATTTTTGTATATGATTAAATATTATTTACTTGTAGGTGTGAGAGCACTGTTAATTGACAAAGATAAAAATCCTAAATGGAAACCAAAAACTTATGAAGAAGTTACACAAGAAATTGTAGAAAAGCATTTTAGTTCCTCAACAAATCATGAAGGACCGAGAAACAAACTGTGATAAATGAACAAATGAGCAATTCATTTTTGTAAGGTGTAGTGATATGCTTTATACATATTTTACAAATATTCTTCTGAGGTGAAAGAAAACGGTTGTATTATTATATTGTTATTATTTAGTATACCTGGAAAGAAATTAGTTTTTGTTTTATTCTTGCTTACAACCTACAAAGAATAATAAACCTAAATAAAAAATAAAATAAGAGACCATGGTAAGTAAATAAAAATGACTCACTCCTAAATACCACAAGTGCCTTTCGTGGGCGTATCTTCAAAAATCACTTGTGGAGATCTAGGGCGAGTCTACGTTCTACAGAAAGGAGACTATTGAGATAAATGACAGTCATCTTTCAGTGGATAGGTTTAAGGTACGCAACATGTAAAAAAGTTAAAACCACTCATTAGTTGTGGCGTGAATGTATTGCAAAAGATAGACTTGCGCCTACCCTCACACATGCGACCACTTTTCAGGAGAATCTCATATGTTACTCCTGTAACATCTGAAGGACAGTCACATCGTCATTCTTACTGCACATCATTTTTGTTATTTGTTAAAGGCATTCTGTTACTGCCATATGTGTATTTTCTCCTTACAGGTCAAGTAGTCTCCTTTGTAAAACAAGATTGTACGTACATTAAAAAATGTTAATTTAAATGCCATATAAAACTACAAAAGGATACACAGCTGTGGAAAAAAAATTAGTTTGAAACAAAGTGATTTATGGAAATTTCATTAAAATGAGTGTTCTACTGTAATTCGTGATGAATTTCTGCTCAGTATCAGTAGATTTAATAACCAACAATAGCACATCATTTATTATATTTTCACACTTTCATGAATATAAGTAGTATATAAATACACAACGAATCGATACATTGCAATAAAAAAATTGTTTAGTGCCTAACA